AGATTTAGATGAGAGAGATCTGATATTTAATAGTCCACATTTGATTGTCCTATTACTTTCTACTATAAGAGGAGTCATCTTAATTTTAATTAGGTTCTTATGAATAACTCCTCTGGAGTTGATTCTTGATTTATATAATTTAGGTGGGCGGGGGGCAGACACAGTCTCTATGGGGTACTGGGAGCGTTGGGTGGGTAGCAGCTGCAAGGAGACCGCAGAGAGGCGTGTAAGACTGCGACCCTGCATCCTGGACTCAACTCTGGGTTGTCATAATTACAATACTGTTATACTGACTTAGTTTCTGGAAAAATAATTAAGGCAGTGCAGTGAAGGGTCTGATGTGTGTTCTTGGGAATCACCAAACTATTTTTCTCCTGGTGATAAAGTCAGTATGAGGGTTTCACTAAGCCCCTGGAAATGGTGCGTCTCACCTCTCTCCCCCTGCAGGTGTTCACGGTAGAGGAGATGATGCCTCACCTACAGGATGTGAATGGAGCCGTCACTAAAAACCTCTTCCTCAAGGACAAGAAGAAGAAGGGCCTGTGGCTGGTGTCAACTCGCCACGACCGCCAGGTCCTCTTCCATCTGACATTAGTGCATGGAAATGACCACAACCTGCTATGTGGGCTTTAATGTTACATTAGTAAAGTACAGATACCTTAAAATTGTACTGAAGTACTCCAGTAAATGCACTTGGTAACATTTCTTCTCCAGTTGCCTGTTTAAATTCAACACCTGATCACCTGAGTGCATGGCCTCTACCAATCATCGCTCCCCATCCCATAACCCTCTCTGGTTCCCTGCAGGTGAACCTCAACGATCTCGCCAAGAAGCTCGGCGTCGGCAGCGGCAACCTGCGCTTCGCTAACGAGGCGGCCATGTTGGAAAAACTCAAGGTGAGACCTGGTTAGGTGTCCTGACCCAAAGTGAACCAGCCCACTGTCCTGTTAGGGAACAGAACACGGTTGTTTATGAGTCTGTCTGGATGTTTGGGCTTGTCGTTGAGCTGCACAGTGAGTCTGAGCCCAGTGTGACACCTGATCCACAGCAGCTGCCAGCGTTTCACAGTCTGCTCTGTTGTTTGCAGCCTAACTTTTACCAAAACCAATGCACAAGTAGTGACACTGTCTGTATGTTTGCACACAGTTGCCTTTATTTTTGCTATGTTGGAAGCAGTTTACTTGTCTGTAAAGATTCTGTGCAGCCTTGGGTTGCATCCAGACCTTTTCCTCTGCCCATCTCCTACCAGGTGGGTCAGGGCTGTGCCACAGCTCTCGCTCTGCTCTTCGACAAGGACCACAGTGTGAAGTGCGTCCTGGACCGGGACCTGCTGGAAGGAGGCCATGACATGGTCTACTTCCACCCCATGACCAACGGTGCCACCATGGGGATCCACCCAGATGATCTGCTGCGCTTCCTCAAGGAGACGGGACACGAGCCCGTCCTGGAGAGCTTCGACTAGGACAGAGATCTGGACCCGGACCGGGTTAACACCAGCAGCCGAGAAGCCTGCAGGGACTGAACTGAGCAGTGCTGTGTTAGAACAGAACAAGACCTGCAGCAAAGCCTGCACCAGAAGCCAAAAAAAACAGAAAGGGAGCATTTTACTGTCGCAGTCACAGCTCCACTTCGTCAGTCAGACAAAATGGCCAAGACTTCTTTAGAGATTTTATTAATTCACGACAGGAATCAGCCTCACACAGCACTTGTTTTATTTGGGGATGTTAAACTAAAGCCAGCTTTGTTATAATTTCTGTGCTACATCATCTCCTGTGGTCTGCCGGTTTCTCTGTTGCTGTGTAGAGGTTGTATCTATTTGTTAACAGAGCAGACTGTTTGTTTCACAGGTTTTGTTTCAGTAAAACCATCTGGACACACTCTGTGGCTCGTTCTTCAGATCATCCCTTAGTGGTTTCACTTCGTGTATATGAAAAGTCAGCTCATGTTATCGGGCTGAAGGAGGAAAAGAATAAATCCTTGTCAGAATCAGGTTGATGCTGTGAACTGTTCTGTAACTGTTCTCCAACTCTTCTGGTAGCTGATTTGACAGGTTCTTCTGAGATTTCAGCCTCGCCCCTCACTTCTGCTCAGGCTCCCATTATCATCTCTGCTGAGTTTTGTTCTTTGTCATATTCATGTCACACTCTGAGGTTTGACAGCTTTGTCTGAAGATGTAGACGTCGCCTACTCTGCAGGAAGTGACTTTGAATTAAATCATGTCCTGGGCAGGACGTTCCCTCTGGACATTTTCATCAACCCATGTGTGGAAGGAATGAGACACTATCTCTGGTTCTGCTGCATTGACCCTGATTCTTGTTTACAGGAGTCTGTCAGCGTTACGGCTCTAAAATCAGGACAACAGGTTAACGATTGGGAACTAGAATTTAAAAAGTTGTCTATACGTGCAGCCCAGTAACGTGGAGTGGTTTGTGAGGGAGTTCTTTTCCCACCTGAAAGACAGTTTGGTTGTGACGTCATAAAAGGAGACCTGCTCTTTGTTTGAATTTCTGCCCTTACATAAGAAAAAAACTACAAATTGTGCCTTTATCTTTTCAGGTGATCATTGCCACGAAACATTAGGTAACCTCTAGTAAAACATATTTCACCTGTCAGTTGCTGGCTAAGCCTCCCTGTATAGAGGGCAGGGTGTTCATGCTATGAGCCCCTGGGCACAGACATGTCAAAGGCCAATTCAACGTAAATCGGGCTTTTGGCTGAGCTGTTTCTTGTGTTTAGGCTCAAACACTGTGGGGCTTTTATTTTGCCAGGGCTGTGTTGACGTTAACTTCCTGGTGGAGCTCGGTGTGGGTCCCAGCAGCTCAGAGGCCGACGGGAAGCAGCGATCCACAGCTGTAATCCTGCGCTGTCTATGTCAGTGTACATTTGAACCTGCTGCTGCTGTTTACTGTCTGTGGGTGCGTGTTGATCCCGGCGTGCACGTCAAATCTACAGCCAGGGTTTTCTCTGTGGTGACAAATGACTGAGATGAAAGTGCTGAAGCTGTTGTGTGGAGGTTTAAAGGGCCATTCCGCTATTTTGATGTTTGTCTTCACTATCGCAAAACGCATTCAGCTGAATTCGTTTGATCAAAGTGGTTTTATTAATATATGTGGACAAATTTCCCAGATGAAGTAAAACAGCTTCAGCGTATGTTATTAAACTTAGCTTGGCTGAGGATATAAATATGTAGATCTATGTCATGTAGATTATTATGATCACATCTGCTGTGACGGTGCCAAACCTCACACTATGACAGTGATTACAGTTTAGATGTCTCATTCAACAGATGATGGACAGACAGGAGCAGGTGAACACTTACACGGCCTCAACACCTGGTTCATACAACTCCTGTTATTGTTTTCAGGCAAGGAGCATCTGAACACACCATCTCTCTAGTCTGTTACACTCACAGTCTGAGCAGCTTATCATTATTGTCTGACATCCATCATCCAGTAGCAGTGTCTGTTATTTCATCCCTGTTCATAGATGCATGTGTTATAAATATGGTATGTTACTCCCAAACCTGTATGTGAGCAGGAGGGCATCACCTGATTCAGATCATCCCACTGACACAACTTTTCACTCGAGACGGTTCTTTAGACACGTCTACAGAGAAACACCAGCCCTGCTCTCAGCCTTGGAAGAACACAATTAAAGCTGACGCGGTGCAACATGACGCCAAAACACCACAGGATTATGCTCCTGAGAGACAGACCTCTGGAGGGTAACCACAGCAACAATCACTTCTTCCCCCAGCTCCACAAACACCAAGACAACAGCAGAATTGGTGTCATCACCCAGGAATGTGCATGCGGGCACCATGTGCTCATCAGAAGATACTCATTTGTGCTGCAGAAAAACTGGAGCCAGGTGTAATTTTTACACAACTGCCAACATGTGGGTCTCAGAGAGGCTAATGTGTGGTGTAGCTGTGGACATGTTGAATTTAAATCCCAGGTTCTCTTTGTGTGAATCGGTGTGACTTTTGGCCTGAAGGTGGTGCTCTATTTGAAGCAGTGTGTGACAGGTTTTCCCCTTTCAGAGGGCACACACTCATTTGTCATGTCTTTCCCTGAATCACATCACTGTCTGTTAGAACTTAATCTGCTCAATATAATTATTTCCTCACATCAGCACGAGGCTCTGCTGGGATTTGAATCCAGGCTCTCCTTTTAGAAGACACTAGTCTACAGCCCATGTCCAAACCTTCCATATCCAGGAGGCTGAACTGTACTGTGTTGTACAGAGGTTCACTTCTTCAGTGTGCTCCAAAACCCATGTGGTTGTGCTTTGGTTTAGGTAGAGAAATGTCTTTGTTCAAGTTAGAGACAGATTGTAGTTACTAACTGACTGTGGGAAGGAGAGGGCAAACAAACAGGTCCTGAGTTGAGATCACACCTTTGTTATGGTTAATACTGTGTAATCAGTGCAGTTTGCATGTCTGAGGTGGCTTATCTGGTAAACAGGAGATCGTGGGTTCAAATCCCAGCAGTGTCTCTGTCTGATTAATGTGTCCATGATTGTTGTTAATGCAAACAGGAAAGAAGGCCAAAAACTGCACATATGATCAGCAAGACATGAAAACGGAAATGAGAAATAGCAGCCTCATGGAGGATTTGTAGTACAACAACAGGTGAATCTGACCTAGTTTTAACCAGGTGTACCTAATACAGTGGCCACACAGAGTGAATGGCAGCGATGGTCTTGGTCTGACTGCAGGTTTTGTATCATATTATTTTCAGCACGTTGTGGTTGGGGCTGAGCCCAGAGTGAACAGACAGGCTGATGACCAGCTTTGTGATACAGCTCATCAGGATCAACCTGGCATCCAGACACATGATCATCAGAATGAGGAACCTGCCACTGCGACGGACGCTTTCCCTTTAAGAGATCCAGGAAGTACATATGAGCGGGGGGGGTGGGGCTTGTTGAGGAAACAGGTGTGTGTCCTGACAGGGATGATGTCATTCCCTGGTCGAGTCACCTGGGAGACGACTGCAGAGTGAAGCGTGGAGAGAAAGAGAGCCGCGGGAGCTAGAGCAGGAGGAGACGAGCTGCCTTCATCACTGCTGTGTTTCTCCCTGAGGAGGAGGAGGAGGAGGTGTGAGGAAGGAGATCCACACAAGAGGAGGAGGAGGACGTTTGCTATTTGTCAAGGTGAGAGAGAGACACACACAAGAAGGGAGAGAGAGCACAAGTGTAGTTGCAGAGTAACACGCTAATTCCAAGTCATTGCACCAAACTCCATTCAATAATCTGCTAATTTTCCTTATGTCTTAGCAGTAGAACCTGAACTCTTTAAAGGACAATGCTTCTGTTTGGACATGTTTCAGCTAATTAGCAACACTTTTCGTCCCTGCTGACCATTTTCCAAACGTTACTACTTATACATGGCCATAAGTATGTGGACATTGCTGTCCGCTCACTTTAGAGTTTTACCTGTGTGGCTTTTCATGGTTTGACGTTTTAGTCCCAGCCACTTAAGATGTGAGGAGAGAGGAATCAAGGAAACGTTTAAACAGACACCAGATGTCCTTTTCTCCTGTCTTCCATTTGAAATGTCCAGTCACCAACTGATTCTCAGTAAAGGGGTGTGTCACTCCATAAATGACTTCAGCAAAGGATGCTCTCTTGTATCCTCACGCATAGCTCCTCCGGCAGCCTCCTCGCTCCTCAGAGCACCACATTCACTGTTGGTCTCTGCATGGGTTTGGGGAAAAATAACAAGCATAAAATATCATAAGCTACACCCCTTCAGTTCAGAGTTGGACCCAGGACTGAGGACCTGTGGTCAAATAACAAAACAAAACAGAATAAGTAGTGTGAACTGAGCACATAGTTGTTGTTCTTTAAGATGATGCTCAGCGTTGGTAGGGGCTGACAGTTTAACAGCATGTTGGCTGCCTCTGAGCTGAGTCTGTAATTTCTCCAGTTGTGGTCTGGTTCTGTCAGTTTGGCTTGGATTTTGCCTCCCTCTCTGTTTTTGGACCTGGTTTTCGATTCTCTCCTGTCCCACTCCCTCAAGCTCTGTGAATGAGCACTTTGCTTGTTTGTGCTCAGCAGTCTTTTCTTTCCTCTGTGGTCTGAGATGTTTCGTGGCTTGTTAGTGGCCTCCATATTTTCTCTTGACCTCCTTGACCTGTGAAGTTCACAGCTAACTTAGTGCAATGAAAAGAGAAACAAGTCCACCTATAACAGCCCCAAACCAGCTAGTCAGCAGCAGACAGCAGAGTGAACACGGCCACTGTGAGGTCTGTGGCTATTTTTACAGAAGCATCATAAGACTAAAAGGCGGAGAAGCTCCTAAACAGGAGGCCACTGTCGGTCTAAGTTCAGTAGCAGTAGCTCCTGAGTCTGAGAGAAGTGACGGGCAGCAGAGCTGCTGCAGGTGTCGCCCCGGGTCAGAGCTTGGTAAAAAACAGTCATAAAGAACTTTACAGCAGGTTTATTAAAGAATCATTAAATGTCAATGAAATAGTTCCTCGTGTACCTGTGAATCGATGTGTCACTGTGGACACGGAGGAAACGGAAATAACAAGACATATTTTCTCTTTTCAGATCCACATGGAGCTTGTTTAACATAAGATAA